CAAAACAGAAAAGAAAGATAAAAAACACTATCCCTTTACTATGCTATCATCAGCCCATGCTCCGAAGAAACGCCCGTCCATTTTAATTATATCCCGTTTGAAGGGACCTGGGTGGCTTGACTTGTGTGGCTAAAAGCTGATCGTATGTTTGTCTAGATCTGACTAGGATGGCGCTGAAAACAGGGCAGGAGCAAGGTCTCAAGCCGCCAAAGCCGGTTTGGTAGCCAATGTACGCCAATAACGGCGTAGACCGGGGGGTGATTGGGGGGCGTTCAGGGTCCTAGGGACAAGTGGCGGTGCATACGTGTACACACCCAAGAAGACCTGCATGAATCCAAGAAGGGCCTAGACAGGCCGGAAATGATCTGCCCAGAGTGGCTTACGTGCCGCAACAATGGCAGGCAAGAAACAGGCATCCCCATCCATCCCCTCAAGTTGTTCCTTTCCATAGCATACATATTTCCTCGATCTGCCGTGGACGCGTCGCACAAGAATAAAACTCGTTGTAAAACTTGTTGACCTATCGCCGTGTGAAATTCAGGGTATCGACGATCCAAACCTCAGACAGCCGTCTCAAGCGAAAGGCCCTTAGCGGGTACGCTAGCCCACCGCTAAAGATGCTACCATCGCGTCAGGTCGCGGCGATTTGAGTTGGAAGCGGAGAGTGGCGCATTTTCCCAGATTGCACTGACCTGAATGAACTAGGGTCGTTGAGCTGCCTACTTGGTATAATCCGAGCCAATGAGACGACAACCCTGCAGAAGTCACCCAGTTCTACCTTTGACAACGCAGCTAATTACTGCTGAGCTGTTAAAGCTTCCGAAACGCATCCAGAATTGAGGTGGGCTTCACAAGAATATGATGTTGAGATGCGAAACATGGGCATCGTCTAGTCTGAAATATAATAGTTCCATCCGCACAGGGGCTAGAAACCTCTAACACCAGCCAATGATGATCATGCGGGGAATGTAACAAACTACCTCGGTCGAGCTGACCTCGCGCGATAGACATAAGTATGGCGCATCCGGACGTCTGTTCGTGGTAGCTGTTGGGGGAGGACTACCAGCAACCAGGTACATAATATCCATCACGAGATGTCGGCACAAAAGAAAGCCGTTCTTATTACGGGCTGTAGCGAAGGTGGCATTGGCGATGCGCTCGCCCGCGAGTTTCACCAGAGGGGCCTGCGAGTGTTTGCGTCGGCAAGGAATCTAGCCCGAATACAACACCTCCAAGCTGCTGGCATCGAAGTCTTGAGGCTTGATGTTGTAGACAAAACATCAGTTCAATACGCCGTCGGGGAAGTCTCGAAGCTTACAGGCGGAACGCTGGATTATCTAGTCAACAATTCCGGCGTCGGCTATCTCATGCCGCTGCTGGACGTGGATCTGGACGAGGCACGCAGAGTCTTCGAGGTCAATGTCTGGGGCACCCTGGCCATGATCCAAGCTTTCGCGCCATTGCTTGCAGCCGCTGCGGATAAGGGATCTCCGGCGCGCATCGTCAACATAGGGTCTGTTGTATCGCGTATGCAGGTCCCGTGGCAAGGCGTCTACAACGCCAGCAAAGCCGCACTGCACATGATCAACGACACGCTGCGCCTAGAAGTGGCGCCTTTCGATATAGAGGTCCTACACGTAGTCACCGGCGGAATTCAGACCAAGTTTTTCGAAAACTCAACTGGTGCGGTGCTAGACGAGAACAGCGCGTACGAGCCTGTCAGAGAGATCATCGAAGCAGACGTGGCCGGGAAAGCTGCAAAGAGGTCGCAAACAATGTCGGCCGAAGAGTATGCAAAGGCTGTTGTCAGCAATGCACTCAGTCGACGGCCGACTAAGACATTATGGGTGGGAGGCAGGGCACGTCTCAGCTGGCTTGGTGACCGCTTTGGATGGTCTACTATCAATGACTGGTTCATCTCAAATCTGATGGGATGGTCTATGGGAGGGCTGCGGAAGAAACTACGATCGACTAAACGAAAACTGACCGCATGAAAGCACGTGCAGAAATTTGCGGTGGGAAAAACAGGGTTACATTGATGATAGCTCAGATGGCTATAGAAGACAAGAGATAGAGATGTTGATGCTTAGGCCGAGCGTGCAGTTAGTTCCCATTCTCGATACCCCAGAATATCTGCGTATTACCACACCACAGGTTCGCCGTGCTGACCGTCTCACCGCCGTTGGTGTAATCCGCGACTGTCTTCTCGATGAGTGCGTAGACATCTCCGCTTCCAATACTAAAACACGTGGCAGAGATCACAGGTCAGCCTCGCCGTGCATACTTGGCCGATATGTGGAAAATGACAAAGATAGTAAAGGATCCTCACTCACTGAACCTCTTCATCTAGCGTCGTATAAGCCCAAACCTGGCAAGTTCCCCAGCCATAGATCTTGTACGAATGCAGCATGCCGTCGCCCGAAATCCACTCGCTAACCTTCCAGTAGCCCTTATAGCCATACAGCAGGTAGGTCATGGCCACGTTGCAGTCGGCAACTTTGGCTGGCTTAGAGTCTCCATTCACCGGCTGGCTGAAAACTTCAGACCCGCACTATTGCAGTCAAGATTAGATCTCATGATGACTACCAGAGTTCAAGACAGCAAGGAGGTCAGTAAGAATATACGTACAAGGAACTCCATCTTTCCCGTTTCTACCCAATTTTGGTGGAATTGCTTCGGGAGCGTGTCGAGAGTGGTGTTGTGGATCGTACCGACTCCGCGGACGCCAATGTCAATGGCTCTTCGGTGTCCCTCCGTGACGAAGGCAAGGCCGGCAATCGTGGCCAGCACGACCGCTTTTACGATATAGTGCAGCATTATAGTTCTTTGCAGGGGATTGAGGTTGTCAGAGACGATATTATTGGTTTGGCGGTTTCTTGTGGGTTATGATTGCAAGACGAAGTGCGTAGAGAAAATAGTTTAATCCTATATGCTGCAGTAAAGCCACCGACTTTTATAGACTCTTGGAGGCTTAGTTGAATAGAGAGCACCTTGATATTGTTCAGAGTCTATCGAATGAAGGGACAGAGGGGACTGACTTCAAGATCAGAAAACAATGCGAGCTGTGGACCCGTTAGCTGTGCCTGCTGCTCTACTCAATCTCCATATTTGCTTAAATTCCATTGTCTTTCTGAGGTTTGGGTGAATAAAACATTGCGATGTAGCTTCGGGGCTGAAATCTATTCAATATGATCACTTGTAAGAGGTAATGTAGAACCACCACAGGACATTCATAAGGCTAATTAGTACATGACAAATCCAACGTGTTGCTATTGTGTTGCGATATAAACATCACTACGGTGTAGTTCTACTAATAACCTGATGCCAAGCACGAGCAATACGTCGAGACTCCTATTGGAAGTTGAGAAGCTAGAGCTAGATCTGAAGCCTAAGATAAATTCTCTTAGGAATTATCTGCGTGTATTGGTCCAGGTCCACCATGCTCCTATTCATAAACATAGTGAAATACATCCCCACGCGCCTCCGGAATGTGACAATACTTTTGTTGTGCTTGCATGATAACGCGGCGATATTGTTGCTCACTATCATTAACTTAAACTGAACTTTTATGATTATCAGCAACTGCTAGCATTGATAAGTTGATATCATGTCGAGACTCATTGCCACTATGACGCCTCATTGTTCTATTATCGCAGTGCTAAGAGCATTTTTAATCTGCATTCTCATTAGGTCTCATCAGAAGCCAGTGGCAGCGGATATGTGATGAGCAAGTAAGGGAGGCAAATAGCGTGACAATACAACTGTATAGAGTGTACTAGCCCTAGCGTAAGCCTTGCGAATGCCAATGTAATTCACGGTTGTGCTGCTGACTATTAATCAGTACGGCTATATATGAGTGGTATGTTGTCTCTATTTGTTCCTTACAATACATAGATACGAAAAACCCATAAGCCCTTTTATATTCATAATATATTGAACATTGTGGGAATACAATGTGGTGTGGAGAACCCTCTCTTTCACCTAAACGCCTATGTGTCGTCGAGACAGGCAATTGAGTAACGCCAAGAACCATGACTTAGATGTGAAATTGTGACGGAAGTGAATAACTCTCTTGGACTTTGAAGGCTTTCTATCGCTCCTCAGTTCATTCAGCCTTCCCTTCCTCCCCACCGGACCACCAACGCCAGAGCGCCTTGCACCAGAAGATAGTTTCCATAGTGCCAAGGACACCGACAACGGCATACACAACAAATCTGGTAGTGCGGTTCATCCCTATGTCCTGAAAGCTGATTTTAAAGTCGTCGGGTGACGGACTTTGGTTGTTGGAGGCTCCGTGCCGTGGAGAGGATTCATTGCTGCTAGCAGTCGAAGACTGCTTCTTAACCGATGGAGTTGACGACAGGAGACGAGCACTCGTAGAAAGACTTCTGCTTGAGCTGAAACCGCCGGAAATTACTACTGCCAACGGATGGGTTTTTGTCGAAATGTTGCTTGCAAGTAATTCCGAGTAGGGGTGATGGGTGCGTGTAAGTGGTGCCCCTCGGTTAACAGCCTTAAAGGTAGCTACACAACGAGTAGACAATATCTTGGTGGGAAGACTAGCCATTTTGAAAGTATATGAGAATGGAGAGGTCCGATTGAATGACTATATTGTAAGTAGTAGGACAACTGCGAACAATACAGCTATTTTATACAAAAGCATCATGAACTGATTCTCGTTTCCTTTCATCAGCTTAGAGATTAGGCTTGGCATAGCATGACATTGTCCAATCATTTAATCCCACTCGATCCACTTGGGTTCGAATACGCCGTATTCCAACGCATACTTTCTTTACCTTACCGGTACCTCAATCTAAAATGACTCCTTGCATGTAGCATGGCTTCTCCTTAGATTTTTTACGTTGTTTATCCATTGGAACACTGTCAAAAAACTCAGAACTATAGCACTTAAGTTGGTGATTCATTATTTGCAGAGGTAGCGCAATCATGGCCTTCTAGAATAGCGACCAAAAAGAAGTGAAACGGAACAAAAAGAGAAATGCACTGGCCGGGAATCGAACCCGGGGCCTAAGCAGGCGATTTCTTAGAAGAGACATGGGAAGCTTAGATGTTACCATTACACCACCAGTGCTAAGCTGTCTATGGATCGTGTACGAGTCCATCCATGCCAAGGATTGTGGAGAAGATATACTATCATGAATTATTAACTCGCAACAAGGGGAAAAACGAGAGTTTTGTTAGCTTGAAGGTAAGTAAGAAAGTTACGTCAGAAACCCGCTTACCCGGAAGGAAATCCGCCGATACGCAGATGGTAGGTCCAGTACCTAAGGTACCTGCTTAGGGAGAGATAGTGAGGGGTCATTGATTGCATAGGGTGGGAGTTGCAACTCGATTAACGAGATTCGGCGGTAGAAAACGGGGGATGATCGGCCAATGAGCCAACTATGAGTGAGGTAATTCACTTATTGTTGCCAGTGTGGATTCGCCTGGCAATCGGTAACCCCACCACCTCCCAGTCTCCTCCAAGAATACCTGGCCAATACCTCTGAGGGTGTGAGCGGCACCTCCATGAGTCTCGTTCGTGCACTGCTTACTTACCATTTACGTCCACCAATATACGTCACATACATACCTCATATAAATACCCCGCCAAGGCAAACTCATCCGGCATCGTACTGCAAACTCCTAATCGCCACCGCACAACCTGCCAGCCGAGATGAGTGGCGGCAAAGGCGGCGACAAGATCGAGAAGATCATCGCGCGCCTGCAGCAGCGCATCAGCGAGGGGCAATTCTACGAGGCGCAGCAGCAGACCCGTGTCGTCGCCGCGCGCTACACCAAGGCCGCTAACTGGACCGCCGCCATCGATATCATCTACAATGTCGCCCAGTCGCTGCTGAAGGCCGGAGAAGGTGGCAGCGGCGGCGATCTTTGTGTCCTGCTCGTTGACACCTACAAGCAAGCAGAACTCAAACCCGACTCCGCTAACAAGGGCAAACTCCTGACGTGCCTGCGATTGTTCGATAGCGAGGAGCCTACACGAAAAAAATACATCGGGGAGATAGTAGCGTACGTTCACGGATTTCTTGCTTTTATTGGGTGCTGCAAATTCTAGGGTAGAGAGGGCTACGGAATATGCTAACACAAAAGGTACACCCACAGATGGTCCTCAAGATTTGGAGAGTACCCCGCCGGGGACCCGGAGGTTCACCACGTCGCCGGCTCCCTATATGCCGAAGAGCACGAAGCCTACGATGCCGAAAGGCATCTAGTATTGGGCACCAAGGATTCCGCCGAGGTGCTAGCCCGTATGGAATACGAATGGTTCAAGGAGGATGAAGCACATACGGCTGCCTTGTACGCTGGCCGGGCCGTGTTGCCCTACCTCATAACGGCAAACGTCCGTGCGGCCAACACATCTTACCGCATTTTTACCAGCGCTCTGAACGAGGAAAGGCAAGCGCAGCTCGGAGTCCAAGATGTAAGCAGCAACAGTGCCGACATGCGCGTTTACCCTAGTATACCGCTTCTCAACTTCCTCGGCCTCCTCCTCCTCGCCATCCAGAGAGGTAGTACGGATCTCTACAGACAGTTGACGGCTAAATACGCCAGTCATCTAAAAGACCTCGAAATGTGGAATGAGGCGCTAGAGATGATCGCTGAGATGTACTTCAACATTACGAAGCCTCGGCAAAGTAATCCTCTGATGGATATGATGAATGGTTTCTTTGGTGGCGGCGGCGGTGCTTCTGCAGGCGGGAGCTCGAGGAAGCCTGCTCTCAAGGCTCCAACGTCAATGCCGACGGCAGAGGGTCTGGATTAATTGTGTCGTGTTGGGAAGGAATAACATAGCCAGCCAGCATAGAAAAATCCTGTGATGGAACTGCATCCTTTCTAAACAGTACCTAACGCATATGCACTTGTTCTTCGGCTTCGTACATCCAGTTGTCTTCGGCCAACGCAGCCACCTGTGCTCTCATGCTTGCTCTAAGTGCTTCGAGCACTTCTACTTCTTTTGTTAGCGCAGATCTTCAGCACTATACCTGCTTTGCGTTACCTTCAGGCTGCGCCGGCATACGGGTGTGGTTTATTTGATGGTGTCGAACGACCTCGGCCAGTTTCTGCCTTTCCCCTATATACGCATCTCATGGTAAGCTTTTTCTTACTCTCCCAATAATTTGTAAATAATAATAAGAAAGAGTGAATTCCATACGTTCGTTCTCCTGCGCATCATCCAGTGCAGCCTCCTCGTTCGGGTCGTTGAGCGGCGGCGTCGGTGGGTCCCCGACCTCAAACTCGCCGTTCTTGTCGCGGATTACAATCTCGGACGTGTCGGACAGCACATCAATGTCGAGGCGCAGGGTCTCGGCCGAGTTCGAAGCCGAAGAGGTCGCTGTTGTTGTCGTACCTGCTGCTGTGCCCATCCCCGTCCCTGATGTCCCCGTTGGTGTCGGTCGCCGCGTCAGTTGGCTTTGGAATAGGTTGCGTCGCACGCCCGTCGTGCTGGTTGCTGCGCGTGTCATGCGGTTCGTGTCCGGGCGTAGGTTGGGCGGCGGCGCGCGATCGGCCATCGTATATTCAGAAAGAGCGTACCGTCCGGAAAATGTCTGGTGGATGGGGGTTGAAGTGAGGGGTTCGCGTAATGTCGTTCAGCGTAGCTCTTGCAAGCAAGGTCTAGATTCCGCAGTTGTAAATATACTAGTGATATGCGAGGTGAATTGGCGAAGACGGCATGGGTTGAGTGATCGGTAGTAGTCGTGAGATTGTAAGCTGTGTGGAAGCTTGTCATCCTAACAAATAGTGCTAGGTGTGACGGCAGCTTGGAATAGGCCCTGCGAGACCTCCAAAGGCCTGCCTGTCGTTTTTAATGAAATAGCATGTGATGCCCCACGCCCTCCGTTTAATGGGTCGATTGGCAACGACCACCATTATTGAGTAACAATTGGACGGGTATATATAACGACATCCGACTTTCATCGTATCAGTGTCTTCCTCTATATTAACGACATGATTACTGGAAAAATACTGCAACATAAATTTCAATCACGGGATCTTCATGCATGACACCCAAGAATTGCATAGTACTTCTATGTATGTAAGTACTCCAGTCGTCCATCCCACTAGACCCGTCTTCACAGTGTGTTCAGGGGCTTTCTTCAAACATATAACTACTAAATATATGAACTTTACTATATTCAATGTTGTCTCGTAAGTGTCGAAGAGAAATTAACATGAGGCTCCAGTTTTCACTTCAAGTGATCGTCGATTTTGGCCAATATGTGCCACTCAGCCCCCGTCCTGGTGATGGAGGAGATGCTTTGTCAGAGCAACTCACTATATATGGCCTTCATATGTATAGCTGTTTCTAAAAAACTAAAACTATCATTTTTGAGCAAGCCTTGTCGAGGAGGTATTTTGATGTGGACGTTACAATTTTCAAAACTCTTCAAAACTTGTGCTTAGCCCATTAAGATAGTCTAACGGCAATAACTTATAAGAGATTCAGTAATAGTAGCCGATTTATATTAGGCGTAAACACTTCCATCTAAGCTGAGTGAAGTTCTATTTCTCGCACACGATCTTGGAAAGGAGCTAGCACCTACCCTATAACGATCATCCTAGAAGTAGCCTTGGCATTTAGTCTCGCAGGGAAAGTACGTCCTTAAACATACAGTCAGCCTCCTTAATAAGCTTGAGGTACCTCTTCTGTGCTGTAGATAAGTGCGGGGCATCCATCTCTTATCCAACCATGAGCGAGCTACCTAGAACCAGCTAAGGTTAGATGTAGGTACCAGAGACATCTAATATTTATTAAACGTCGCCCAGTCAAAACCCAAACTAGAGCAACATATGAACACTTTCTTCAGCTTCTGCTGATAAACCATTACAAACCGAGAGTCAAACATGACATCAAGTTTTGACTAAAGATGTCATCATCTACAAGCTTCAACATCCAGCCCATCGGCCGCTTCACTGGTGAAAGCGAACCAGTAAAACGCCCTAAAGTAGGTATAAGCCCGAGCTTTTTGAATATTGGTCTAAGAAGACGTCTCCATCTGATCCAACACTTATCCACTGGCAACTGTATAATCTCTTTCTTGAAGGCTCATCTAACTAGCTGGCAGGAGATAGCGTGTTTCTCATACGACCACAAGCACGAGTTTCGCCTAGACGACTCATCTCTACAATGGTACTACCCCCCTACGCTAGGGGCCGATTTGTCCAAAGGATTCGACAAGTTCGACGGGCATGACGACTCAGCCGATGAGCATCTTGATAGCCTACTGAAGACGATAGCAGCTCATGAGCAAGAGGAGGGGAAGAGAATTGATGCTCACATCGTCACATGGCGCGGTATGATGACCAAGGTAATTAATGGATTCTGTTTTAAATACCCTGTGGCGAGACATGTAATAATCTGACGACTGTTCAGATAATGTCGGCACCGTTTGAAGACCGAGATGGGTATGTTAGAACAGAAAACGAGAAAAGGCAAAAATCTAACCGACACGATCATGTTAGCTTTGAAATGAATGCTACTCTCTACCAAGTGCGCACATCAAATGCTAGCCCATAAGATAGTCTTTACTGATAACTGCGAAGGATTGCATGTATGACTTGGAATCCCGCCTCTTTGGTTGTGACGAAACTGATATAGCAACAACTCAGCTTCATCGAGGAGAATCATGCATATAGGCGGGCCTCTAAGGAAGCGCAAAGCAAGCAGCAACAGAACCGGCGCGGTCAATTTCCGCCTGAAGTCATGACCTATTGGGGTAAGAGGGAGAGCTACGTTTGGATCTAGTCGAGCTGATCAACTAGCAGGCTATAAATTTGAGGCGCTTTCCTGTCTGCCTCGGCCCTGGGCTGAGGTTAGCCGCGAATTTATCGAGAATCGCGACAACCACATCGTCAGCAATAAAGCACAATACTGCTCCGTAGTACGGACTGGGATGGGCAAGACGGTTCTGTGTCTCGGTGGTGAAGTCGACGCTAGTAAGTCCTCCTAAACTCCACGCACATCCATTATACGGCCTACTGGCAACTACTGACCTTACTGTGCATCAAGTCTGGGATTCCAAGCCGACGCAGAAAGGGGCACCTATCAGCTGGATTGAACTGAAGACGAGC